TCGCTGGCATTCTCTTCTGTTGGACTTTCTTGCATGCATAGTACATTCTGCCATGGCGGGCCTGCGTGCTTCCTGCGAATAATACTAATTAATAAACGAATGAAGTTAAGCCTCGAAAATTTTTATTTCCCTAATTAATGACATAAAGCCCACCGGAGCGAGCAGCTTGGTCTAGCCGTAACGTTCTAGACATGTATTCATGAGATGCTCGCTTCGAATCTCACCCAAAACATCGCCTATTCACACTGAAGATTTTGCGGCTATTTCTCAGTCCACGCGATGTCTATGAACGTTGAGTCTAAATGTGGGACTTCCAATTTTAGTTAACGCAATTACGCGAACTAACTTATCACACCCACGCAACTGCATTTCGAATTAGACTAAATACGATTTGCAGAATCGGAGCCGGGGTGGCGTAGTGGCTATAGCGACTGGCCACGGGCTGGACGGCAGAAGATTCAAAGTTCGAGTCCCGGTAGGGTCACGAATTTTCTGTTCTCCATATCGTCCAGACCGGCTCTGGGGTCCACCCAACATCCTTTCCAATGTGTACCGTGGGCTTTTTCCCCCGGAGGTAAAGCGGGCGGAACGTGAAGCTGACCACCTCTAGCTAGTACCGAGTTCAAGAAAATGTGGATCTATACATCCACTCCCCCATACGCCTTCATGGCGTAGTACTTAATTCGTTGAGCACAGGGACAACTTTACCGTTCTTGCCTTTTTTTTTTTAATTCGCTTAGTGGTGGGTGGAGTCCAACTGGGTCCACTCGGCACGGCGGCCACTGATTGGCCTATTGTAGCATGCCCCAGTTGATTATGACGATGGAGAATTTGGTGGAATGAAGATTGGCAGGGCAAACCGAAGTACTCGGAGAAAACCCGCCCCAGCGCCACTTTGGCCACCGCAAATCTCACTTGATTGAACCCGGGCCGCCGCGGTGGGAAGCGAGCGACTAACCGCTTGAGCTATGGCGCGGTCTTTCTTACCTTTCTCTTTCTGCAGAATCAATCTCACATTTCTGCTACACTATCCAGGATTTTATTTTGAAAGTGAACAAATAATTACGTATTGTCCACAACTTGAGTTCAGATCGGTGTGCGAAAGCATTGTGGCATCCGAAGGCATCACGTTAAAGTTTCATCCTTCAGTTTCCACTAACACTTATTCTGTTCTTTCACACCTGTATTGTTTCTGCTGAGAGTTTCAATTGACCCACAACCCGTTAACCTTTGAGTTCTCATTCACTCACTGACAATTACTGAGCTACCTACTCGCCTTACCCTTACGGTCACGGACAAACGCCTGAAGAGTTTAAAGGTGGAAGAGGGGAAACAGCCCCAAATAAAAGGAACGTAAATTAAAGAGGATGGTTACATCCTGTATATATATAATTTCAAGCTATGCTCGAGCATTTGATTCTAGCGTATCCATATACTGTTCTCATCTCTTTAGCTACAATATCGATTTAATTTTGTGGTTTGTAGTGCCTGTTTTACAATTTATTGACACACTATGTAGATATCTTGCTTTCTTTTCTGATCATCTAACCGCTTAAACACATTGGTAAATATATGTACCACCTGCTTCAATATTGAAAGCCATTTATTATCACTGCACGCTGTATTTGTGTGCTTCCTACGAATCTAAGCAACTATTTCTCAGCACAGCTTTAACCGACCGAAGACCGTATTTTCTGTGAAGAATAAATAATATTTCGATGAATTTCTGGCCTCATATGCTTAAAGTACGTTGAACGGACCATGACTATAAATCTGTAGTCTTAATTATGAGCAAATTAGACCTGTATTGCTCAGCATTCCTGTTAAAATGATGCTAGCCATTAGGACCAATAAATAACCAACAGCCGAGTGTTTAATGGTAGGGTTCGCCAGCCTGAAGCGCAGCTGTTGAATAATTAATATTAATATAAGTGAGATATTTGAGGCCTAATTGAAGCTGTGAGTGAAGCAGTTATACGAGAAAGCGCTCTCTTCTGGGAAACGTTTTTGTCAACAGCCCCTTCATTTTGCAAAATCACATCTCCGCAATATTAATATTTATGACACAGAGATCTCTTTACGTAAATGAAATATGAGGTTTTCACAGCGGTCCAGATTCCGGATTACTACTCCTTGTAGTCTGGTAGACTGGTATCATGTAGTACGGTGTTCCAAATGTTGGTACCCACCCAGCGGACTACACGGTGTCATAAACCGGAAGACCACAACATGAATCGAAAGTAAATAGAAAATGGTGATTAATAAATGGTGAACTAGAAAGGATCTGGAATGAAGCGTTGTTGATGTGTCTGCATTTTCCTGGACGGAATGAAGAAGTCTACTCTCTGGATAGTCGGACTCCGGACTCCAATTTACAATCCGGACCTCCCGAATACACAGCAGAAGTGCTACGGACCTGACTTTAACTTTCATCGAATACAATATGGGAAGGGCAGTATATATCGTACTGTTTAGATATACAGAGGTACTACAAATGATTCATTCCATTTCAAAATACTATATTTTTCAAAATAATACACATATAAATATGATTTATACATAAAAAGGACCACAAACTCACCAAGTTTGTATCATGATACACCAGTTGGCAGCACGAATTCAGTGCCTCACAAAACGGTGACGAAGCTGGAAAAGAGTTTCTGTATGTTGGAATACGCGAGATGCTCGTCTGTTATTGCAGTGCAGCGTGCATTCACAGCAGAGCACAGAAAAGAACCGCCATGTAAACAGAGCATTCTGCGGTGGTATCGGAAGTTGAAGGATACTGGTTGTCTGTGTAAACGGAAAAGCACGGGACGACCAAAATAATGTTTTGAAATGGAATGAATCATTTGTGGTAATCCTGTATTACTCTCCGTTTGCGCAGGCCGTAGCGTAGTTGCTTGAGGCACTATGCTACAAGCCGGGAGGTCGCCGTTTAGTGTCCCGATGAGGTGGATTTCTTTTTTAATTGACCTAATCCTTCCAGCCGCACAATGGCCCTGGGTTCGACTCAGCCTCTAACAGAAATGAGTACCAGGAATCTTCCTGGGGGTAAAGGGCGGCCGGCGCTTAAGGCTGACAGTCTTATTGCCATCTGTGAGCTGACTGTCCTGAGAAAATGTGGGAGCCTCAACGTCTCACAAGACTATGGGCCATCACTGCCTGTTACAGGAATAGCTTTACCTTTTTACCTTTACTCTCCTTTTGTGCAGGATTTGAGTTCTAAGAGCAGTGGATCTGAAGAGGTCTGTCTTCTGGGATATAACGCCGTGAGTCCATTGCAAGTCAACAGATGTTTCAGAAGAATATGTAGCTGCCTGCATGATGTTTCTCGCTTAATTGGCTTACTCTTCACTCCTGAAAATGTAGGAGAGATGTTCCTCCAAAATGTCGGTTGACTTTCAACGGACTACATGGCGTTACAGTCCAGAAGAAAAAACTCTTCTTTACTCTCCTCTTAAAGTGCAACAGAAATGTCACCACAGTTTTTTTCCCGAGTATTAACAAATGTGTACTATTCCTCATATTTAGAGGAATATGTTACTTCTGTTTCAAACAGATGGCAGTACAAGGCGGTGCGGTAAAAGTGCCATCAGGTGAATTGCGATGATCCTTTAACTTTACATGTAGTTGCACAGTTCGTCAAGTTCCCGAAGTTTTCAGAGCGGGACATATCTTTGGAAAGCTTATGTAACTTACTTCTGTCCATATCTGACACCTTTTCAAGGTGGTTCGTCGCATGACGTATAAGACAATAAGGTTTTCTTAGCTAATTATGAGGTTTGAGGTTCTCAATCGATGATTATGAAAATTACTGTCTTTTGGTACATGGCGCGGTATGAGCTTTTACCAGAATATACGGCTTGATATCTCAGAAGATAGTAATCGCCTTTCCCGTTGTAGTGAACAGGGGATTCAAGGCTCGAACAAGTAATGACTGAACTGCAGGAGTTAGAATATGTAACTTCACGTGTTATGGGGATATATGCCCTGCTCTCAAGTTTTAATTTTTCCCAGTACATTTATATTTCTGAATCTTTTCTAGTCTTCAAAATATTAATACACCAGATCTGCTCCGATCTGTGTAACGTCTGGTCCTGAATACAGTTCCCAAAATATCTCATTTATGAACTGGATTCAGTTGTTCTTTTAGAATATCAGTGAATGAAACGTGGCAAACCTTATTATTATTATTATTATTATTATTATTATGCTTTGACGTATTAGGCTCTCTGGCCTGTTCCCATTCAAAATTAATTATGAAATTGTGAATCCTATACACAGTCGGTAGGATTCCTTGGACGGGTAATAACTACCTATATACAGAATAATCGCACACAGACATCCATGCCTCGAGCTGGATTGGAACCCACGATCTCAATGCTTGAGCGGGCGAAGAGAGTTCGTGCCTTAGACCCCGCAGCCACTGTGATGGACACCAATCAGTCTTACTTTAGCTAAAGTTCGTATAGGAAATCTGAGACTTTGGACGACAACTCAGAATTTTTAGAATACCAACAAAGGAATGCGTTTATTTTAACTAACATGATAAGTGTTGTTTAGTTTCGGAGAGCGATTAGTCTTCCGGTTTGAGGTAAAGGTTTTGCGCGAGGAAGAATAAAATTCTGAGGAAGGTACGTACATATTTTAACGTAAGTTTGGTGAAGTTACCAAGTGTTACTGATGACTGCATTATGAGAAACTACATGTATTTGTGCTCTTTTCAACGCACCCATAGCTCCGACCGACCACCAGGCAATCCTTACTGTGCTAGACCGAAGGAACATTTTTTTTTACATTTAACGGTTCGAACCCTGGGAACACTACTCTGCCATATAACGTATCCGGTGCAAGTACTGTGATTTAGAGAATAATGGAAAATCCTACGGACCTGTTCTGCCTGCAACAGACTTGAACATGTTCACGATACGGCTCGGCGGCTTCGAGATTTGGGTCTTGCTGGGCGAAATCGAGCTTGATCTGTTAGCTGTTAAGAGATCGTGCTGCAAATGGAATCTAGTAATATATCACTCCGCCTGACGTTTGGACGGGTTTAGTTTCACACAAGTAACATACGCAGCTTGGCGTCGCTCTAACTCTTTAACCTACTGTGGTTACTATATGTACCACCTGTTTTAAAATCCTGAATTCCAAACTTTTCCCAAAGAATATGTTTATATGTTTGTATAATTTTAAGAATAAAGAGCGAGTATGTCTCCAAAATTCATTAACCGATTTATCATTTTAATGGAAAAGGAATGTGTTTTCTGTGAGGTAGGAACTCAAATTTTAAATACTGTGGTAGAAGAAGCTGAGACTTCATTGGGTTAAGAGACAGCATAAACCAGTAACAGTTCCGTTCATATACTGACCCTAAAAACAGCTGCCTAAACTCGGATCGGGACTGAATAACCGACAGCATACGGCACCACTATTGTTAAAGCAGGACGGAGCACATCCGGGAGCGCCGACCGCCCTTTACCCCCAAGACTCTTCCAAGAATATTCCTGGTACTCATTTCTGTTAAAGGCTGAGTCGACCCCAGGGCCATAGTGCGGCTGGAAGGATTACGTCTGTTGAAAAATTAATCCAGTGATCTCATCGGGACTTAAACCCGCGACCTTCCGGCTTGTAGCATAATGTCTCAACCAACTACACTGTATGCTGTGGTACTAATAAACGATTAGGGTTTGTGAATTAGCAGCTTTACATAAATGTATAAGTCACGTTTGTTTCATCAACACTGGAAAAAATATGATCTAAAAATGCATGAATTACTTTGAGCTACGTAAATCTATTCTGTAGCTTACATTTTTTTCCCGATGTTGTTGGTATTTATGGAGATATGAAAGGCAAGACTCCTACATTTTCATGTACAAAAAGTTGCCTGATTGGTCAAAGACATTCTTCTAGCGAGAGTTCTAAACGTATGATCCCCATACACCTTCTTGTACACGGCCTTCATGTAAGCTGTTTCAGAATTTCGGCTCGTTTTAAAATATACACGAATTATATGTGTATGTCAGATCACTTATACATTTTCCGAACAAGACAACACTAGTTCCGAAGGCGTCTTCTACATTTTCACACAAATACATCTATCCAACGGGTTCCGGGGTTCTTTCCGAAGCAGGTAAAGCGGCCGGAGCGTGAAGTTGACCACTCACCTCCAACTAGTGCCGATGTCAAGAAAACGTGGGTCAATACATCCACTCCCCCATACACCTTCATTGCATAGTGCTTAATAAGTTAAGTACAGGGACAACTTTACTATGAATACATACGCATATAGTCATATGACTATATAAGTCTCAGGTAATCTGGTTTGTCGTGAGATTGTAGTGTTTTCATGTGTCACCACGTAGAAATTGTTCTTTTCCTGCAGATTTAACCGTCTGAAACACGGATCGCATATAAATAATATTTTAGAAATTAATTTCGTATTTCACAGAGAATATTACAGGAACCAACGAGTTAATTTTGTTTAGGAAATTAAATTACAAGCAAAATATGGATTTTCTTGGAATTTAATGGCCAGATTTCTGTTAATTTGACTTTCCACGTTGCCTGAAGCTGCTTCTCGGATGTCTTGACACATGCAAACTGAACTCGGAGCTAGTGGAGGGCTGAGCATTGATCGCTGGTTGGGACTTTGCATTATTTAACATACACTGGCTGTCACATCTCTGTGCAGTCCGACGTGTGGAAAACTCCGTTCCTGCGATAGTAACCGAATCATATTTACAAAATTACCTCTAGAAAATTTGACCTTCTGTATTTGTTTTCATAATACTTATGACTGACCGCCTCTGTTGTCAAGTGGTCAGAGTTCCTGGCTACAGATCCAGAGATCCGGGTTCGATTCCCAGCGCTACCAGACTTTCTGAGAAGTAGTGGGTCTGGAACGGGCTCCACCCAGCCTCGTTGAGGATAATTGAGTAGCTATTTCAAGGAAATAGCGGTTCCGGTCTAGGAAACCGAAATTAACTGTCGTAGTGATTCGTTGCGCTGACCACGCGGCACTAACTTCGCCAAGTGGCGGTCGCTCGGTCGGTATTGTCCGCTTGCGGGCCGAAACCACGGAGTTTTTCCCACGAGAATATGTCACAGCCTGAAACCCCATAGTCTTTATTGTGTACCGTATAGTGCAACCTATTGCATGCACGAGCTTCAAGCTCCTCTTCTATCGAGTTTTTGGTTTCCTTATACTGTTCATCTTAACTAGCTACCTTCATGGAGTTGAGTTCTTCTTGAGAAGCCGCCAGTTCGCAGCCATTGAAGAATTTCACAACATTTTATGGAACACGAAGGTTCACAAGAGCGATCCACTGGACCCTATTCTGAGCCAGATCAAACCACTCCATACCATACTGTCGTATCTCTCTAAGATTCATCTTCTTACATCCACGTACCAAATCGCAAGTCCATTTTCCTTAGCTTAGGTCGTTTATGCAAAGAATCCGTCGAAATCCAAGGACCTTTGTGACATTTCGTAACAAAATTATGTTTTAGAGTGAGGAGTTGTTAGTCCCACGCCCACCTCCAAGCTGGAGGACCACCCCTTGTCAGCTTTCCGCGACTGCTTATTCAGTATATTCGCAGCTATGCTCCATATCTGGAGGCCGTCTCTTCCATCCGAAATCTGGGAACGCGCCTCTTAACAAGCCTCCTATGAATTTGTAATTCCGCGCTAGAAGCCTTATGGTCAAACCGTCTTCTGCCATTCTATATGAATGAGGTAGAATTTATTCTCTTCTATATATAAAGAGGAAATACTTTTTCCTCTTTCTGGGTTATCAACGTTAAGGTTTTTCTCCCATTTCAGTATTGAATGTTGTGTATTCAATATTCATTTCTACCGTGTCAGAAATTTTGTCACTGTCTGTATGTGCATCTTCTGTTACTTCCGTTGTGTATAATGTAAAACATTTAGCACTGCTCCTGGACCCTGTGTTATGAGTCTCTGTATTATTCAACGTATACGTAAGGAATATTTTCCTTTCATAATCAAAATCTGTCTCGTAATCTAAGCAATTTACATTACTTAAACCTCAAAATTGACGTAAGCTTTATACCACAGTCTTAAAAATTTATATTTATATTTTCTTTAAGAGTTTACTGGGTATTTTACCATTTAAATTAGTTGTTACCTATGTAAAGATGTTCCAGTAAAAGTCTACATATTTAAAGATTCTTTTGTTCGCCTGTGTCATCTTCTCTTCTGCAGCTTCCACATGATCCTCTGAAGCAATGAATGTATTATCCAACTGTTATATACAATTTGTTTCTTCTATTTTACTTTTTATCTATTCTTCTTTTATCTTCCATGCATGCATACTCATACATACAAACACTCGTCCCTTTCTAGTCTCATTCTGTACTCTTCAACTTGTGTAGAATGTTGATACCCGGAAACAGTGCTTTGTTCTCGTACTGCAGGTGTGAGCATATAAAATGGAGGCATAGAACAAATGAAGGGGAACCCCCTTTCCACTCTATGAGTGGATTCACATTCCATACGCTGGCAGATGATGAGGCAGCCGCCACCATCTACTCTGCATTTAAAACTTAGGAGAATTAGGCTATCAAGTCCCTAGGTATGCAAATATGTACCGCTGTGAGCTCATATTCACAGCTCGAGTTGACGAAGCGTTGCATTCCCCCTCCACGGCTGATGCCACGCGGATGCTTCCTACTCAGATTACCGCTTCTGGGCTGTGAACGAGAGAAATATCCTTGAAGCCGAAACTTCGGCTCTGATTGCCCCGACAGTGTCGGTAAACGTAAGGATATCCTGCCGTGTCTTGAGAACAACCGCTTTCAAGCAATGGAAGTTTTAGTTACCACGGATGTGGACAATAAGGAGACTGTTAAAATATTCAATTTAAAAATATATAAAATGGCATCAATTAGATACAGGAAATAATATTTTGCTACACTTGTATTAAAGCACGTAGTCCGTGGTGTACTTATTGACTTGTTGTAGAAGGTAACTGGTTAAGTTGGACAAGATGCTACTAATGTTAGGCGTTTTTGTACATCATACCTGAATCTCCATGCTAGGACGAAATGGATACCAATCGGCGAGTCTTATTAGGGTGGGTTATCGCCTCCGTATATTAGTGTGTGGTGATGTAAGTTGATTTAGCTATTGGTTCATTCTGAATGGTAGCATGTAACTTAAAATAGCAAGCAGAACTTAAATAAAGTGTAATGCCTGAAGTCTTACTTTAGTTTTCTTATGTGAACTCTCTCTCTCTCTCTCTGTTTCCTGTTTCACCCACTTTGGAACACATGACATATGTGAAACGCGTTGTTTCACTTCAGTTTCTTAATCCTAGGATTCCTTTGACGGGGGATCAGCCTGTCGCAAGGCCGCTATATACATGGGACAACACAAAACAGATATCCATGCCTTAAGTGGTATTCGAACTCACGATCCCAGTGTTCGAGCGGGCGAAGACAGTTCATGCCTCAGACCTCGCGGCCACCGTGTTCGGCTTATATGAACTAATGTCTTGTTAACCTAATAACACCGAGATTGTAAGTTATTTCCAGTTTGGTTTTAGTGTGTGCACGAGAAATAATATGATATTTCAGTTTAATGGTGAAAAGTGAACATGTACTCTCATAAAGATTAAGGATATAGAGTTTGCCAGTAAAAGTGGAAGCGTGAATCTGCGTGTATAATAGACAGTTACCACCTCCAGCCACTATCAGTGCAGGCATAGGCTGCTCTAGGGCCTACATGCAGCATGAAGCTTTACAGAAGTCTTTACGTACGTAAAGCATACGGTGCGTCTGCAGAATTTACAAGTACCGATGCAGCTTACTGGTCTGGAAGCAGTGACCATAAAGTGTCAATGCTAACTTCATTATAATAAACAGACGCAACACGCCGGTCGCTAGCCTTCTACGAGTAGCTTATTTCCAGGGCGATTAAATGGAGGAAAATAAAATCCGTGGAGTATGGAACATGCTAATAATGGAGACTTGCATC